TCTAAAGTGGTCTCGACCTCAGGAATGCATGAGACCAAAATGGGAAATGTGGCTATCCAGGTGGTCACAGGAGACATAACCAAGGAGACCACTGATGTCATCGTCAACTCCTCTAATGAAGATTTCTCTCTTAAGTCAGGTAAATCACAGTGAGGACAGGAATGTTTCAATAATACAAAATAATTATAATTTCAGAAATTAAAGTAAGTAAATATTTACATGTTGTGGGTAGTACTTTTAAGGTATAATACGTTTAAATTATTATCCACTACACAGGCAATGTATATTTATGTCTATTTGATATTGCCTTTTGATATGATATGTAATTTTATGTTTCTCTCCTCTAGGAGTATCGAAGGCTATTCTGGAAGCAGCTGGTCAGACTGTTGAAGCAGAATGCCAAACCCTTGGTAAGGGCACATTTACACCAAACACAGTGTTAAAATTGTCCTGCTTGGTAATGACATGGATAAAGAGTTAATTATTAAGCCAACTTTATCAACATACTCAAGATTGTTCAGAGATGAAGTGTTACCTATGATTGTTATGGTTCAAAGGTGTTCAAATCCATTGTATCCACCTTCAGGGGCCCAGTCTAAACCAGACATGATAATGACCCAGCCAGGCAATCTCAAGTGTAAGAAGATCCTCCACCTAGTTGGACAGACAGACCCAATAAAAATCAACAAGGTTGTGAAACAAGCACTCAAAAGTGTGTGAAAAACTCATACACTTCTGTCTCATTTCCCGCCATTGGCACAGGTGAGATTTATCAGCATATCAGCGGTGTTTGATGAATGATGTGTAGTACATAAATACAACTCATCCCATTTATTGCAAATTTATGGATTAAATTGGGTTTGTTTTCCACAGTACACATTTCGCAGACATTCAAGTGAGCGTTTGTGCAGGAATCCTATTCATCTAGAGTTAACTATAACAATCGTGTGTTTTTACTGTCTACTTTTATTCCGATAATGCAAGAGTCTGTAACTTATGCTGTACCATTTTAGGTCAAGGAAATGTACAGGCAGTGCAGGTGGCAGATGCCATGTTGGACGCAGTGATTGATGTGTTGAGCCAAAATACTGCCAGTACCCTGAAGACAATCCGGATAGTTATTTTTCAGCCACCGATGCTAAAAGACTTCTACAACAGTATGCATCAAAGACAAGCCACAGACCCTAAAGATAAAGATAAAGGAGGCTTCTGGGGGAACATCGGCTCCAAAATTAAGTGTAAGTACAGTGAATAGAATAATATGGATGTTCATGTTAATTAATCCTTAAATGTTCAAATCTAACGTTGATCTTGGAATTTGTTCTTTCAGCAATATTTATTAGTGACAGTGGTGACAAGCCCCAGAAAGAAGGGGATTTTGTCATTGAGCCTCTGAAAGTGGACCCCGCTTGCTTCCACATCTGCGGTGAGTCACAGACTAGAGTAGACTCAGCCAAGCAGCGGATCAACGACCTGATATCCAACGAGTGCAGCAGCCACTGCATTACAGACGACGACATCCTTAGCTTGTCTGATGCAGATCACCAGCACATTGCTGACATCCAGAAGACCATGGGCGTGAGCATAAGGATTGAGAGCAAGAAGGACAGAGTCTCAGTGACCATCGAGGGGCTCAGCAAAGATGTGCTGAAAGCCAGCAAGGAGATCCATGAGATGGTGAGGATTGCTAGAGATGGCGAGGAGCTGAAGAAGAAAGTGGAGCTGGCGGGCACAGTGGCAGAATGGCAGTTCATGCTGCAGGGGCTCCCGTTTCAGAGTTTTGATTCAATGTCCAACTTCAATCTTGAGCAAGCATTGGAAAAGAAGCTACCAAATGTAAAAGTTACAATCAAGGGTCAAAACTACACAGTCACCATGCCAAGTGGACCTGCCACGGATAGCCAGGGACGTACCCTAGAGATAAAGCGCATTGACAATCTGAAAGGTAAGTGGGAACGTGTTATTTGTGGCAACTCTGCTTGTTTCTCCTGCCTAACATTCACAATAATGCACGAGAAAATAATAATAAATCTTCATTATGAAGCCAGAAAAAATTGCATTCAAACCAGATTTGAGTTAAAGGATTCTCAGGTTTTAGCTTAGGTTTTTATTGACACCTTTCTTAGCACTTATGTTGTTATCTGGTCATGGACACAGATTTAGTATGCCAAAGTTGCAAAAAAATAACATTGCCAATATATATATATGTTGATATATATAATATATGTTGATGACAGGAATTTTAAAATGTTTTATTGTTTATTATGCCACTAGATGAAGACATCCCTGAGGCGTGGGATACCATGCCAGCCAACATCTCTAGCAAGGCCTTCCCCATCGCGGCTGGGACAACAGAGTACACTGAAGTGCAGAATCTCTTCCGGGCCACGTGTCCACAGACCATTATTAAGGTAGACCACAATAAACACATGCTGTATGTAAAGAATAATGTTTTAGCTGTCACATCCCCATCATCATGTGTCCCATCATCAAGTGACATTAATAAACCAATCGACCAAACATTTTGAATAATCAAATCAAATGTTTTAAAGATCCATCATACAGGAAAGGTAGCTAATGTTGGCTATAGACTTAGAGCAGAATGCACAAAAATATACTTTTCCCGCCTCCTAGATTGAGCGGATCCAGAACCCTGTGTTGTGGAAGAGCCTGCAGATCAAGAAGCGTGAATTGGAGCAGAGAAACCGTCATCAGAAGAACGAGAAACGACTCTTCCATGGGACCTGCCACAACTCTGTGGCCGACATCAACGAATACGGCTTCAACAGGAGTTACGCAGGAAGGAACGGTGAGAAAATGATGTTCAGAACACTACAGTTGTTATTTACTGGTCTGTGAAGGTTCTCAGTCATCTGGGCCTTAGTGATCCAAGGAGTCAAAATCCAGTTGCCCTTGATTTTAGCCTTCCTGGGATTGTTACTCAGTTATTTCTGAACATTTGCTTTAAATTATAGCACGTATCTCTCAGATGAACTCAATAACTTTCTGCTACTATTCCATTTTCAGCTGCTTATTTTGGCAACGGCACATACTTTGCTGTCAATGCTAGTTACTCTGCCAATAACACCTACTCCAAGCCAAACCAAAATGGGGAGAAGTGCATGTACCTCTGTCGAGTGCTAACGGGGGATTACACCACTGGACAACAAAACATGATCGTACCGCCACAAAAGGACACCGGTCAGAAGTACGACAGTGTCGTGGACAACGTGGCCAAACCCAGCATATTCGTTATCTTCCATGACAGCCACGCTTACCCTGAATATTTGATCACATTCAAGTGACACAGCCAGATACTCAGATATCACAAAAAAAGCCTTACATTTGACCCTGCCTTACAACAATAGATAACGCTTTCATTATGTTTTTTTTTAAGACGGGGAGTTTTTTAAGACAACTTACAATGAGTGCAATAATATGAGCTGTAATTGTCTTGCTTACAAGTGACCTGTAATTATCACAGTCACAGGGTCAGTTATGGAAGTATATAGACCCATACAGTGCCTTGGAAAACATATCTGTAAACATACATTATAGAGTCATCATGCCAGAATTAATCAAAGCTTGAAAAAGGAAAGGAGAGGGTTGTTGAAACAAATTTTTGCCTACATGTTGTGCACTGTGTCATTGCACTGAACATTGTACTCAGAGTTGATAGAAAGTACCTGATCTGTTCCAGGAAGTCATAAAAAAAAAAGGCTTGTTTGTGTATGCATGGATTAACAACCAGTTTTGGTTTTGAAATGAACACTGAAAGTTCACTGCTGTTTCAGTAAACAGGTCTGCACAAAATAAATGTTCAAATCTCTACATATGTGTCCAGCTTTTGTCTATTAGAGCAGCATACATAGTAGTTTTTCGTAGTTTTCATGTGAATTTGCAGTCCAAATAAATGTCAATTGAATTGTTTCTCTCTAACAAATGTATATTCCTTATTCTAAATCACAGTAAAGGATCTGATCAATTTCACTCAGACACAAATGTTTGGTTTGTCGTCTTTTTAACACCTTTAAGTTAAAACATATACTCTTGTGCTCTTAAATTAAAACCCAGAAGGTATAAGTGAAATGAAAACTTACTTTAACACATCTCCACAAACAGTTGAGGGTTCCTTGAGACTCATTACATTGAAAACAAATATTAGAAATATCCTTGTACAGGAGTTGCGCAAGTCCATATCAAGTTAACTGAAACAGGCTCAACTTAGTGGATCTTTATTTTTATTTTAGCCTTCAGTACAAGCTTCCCTCCAATCTGCCTTCGGATCCAACTTGTAAACTTGCAAGTGTAGAACCAAATATCAGCCGGTTACTTATAAATTAAATTCAACCTCTACCATTGCAATTTTTTTCTGGGTCATGAAAATGTACTTTCTTGTTTAGGGGCCAATTATCCTGCATATGCATTTTCATTACCAACATTATAGACTTTTGTTACAGGGAGGTGAGGTAAATAAATCACAGACTTGTTGACACAGCTTTATTCAAATAGGATCTCTGGTGACCTCTCTGGCTCCACCTGCTGGTCTTACTACATCTGTGCATTTCCCACCTGACTAGTGTCTCCTGTTGCTAAGATATACCTGGGTTGAGATTTGATAACAAATGGCACACCACCACCGCTGCAGCTTTATCTCGATGATGATGTGATTATTCTGGAAGATTAGAGCAGTCACAAAATCCTGTGAAAAACTGCCGACGTCGACAGAAGTAAATAGATGCAGAATAAATACTAATTTATTCTTCTACATATATAGTGTTATTATATATATATATATATGTTTTGTTCTGATTCTTCTTTCTTTCTATTAGGCTATATATAATAAAGCTATTATATAAAACAATGCTATAACGCTGCAAAAAAATCTGGTTGCATGAACTTTTAGGGTGGAATTCCTCCTCCTCTTTTTTGGTTGAACGCTCTCCCCACCCATTGGCGCAGGTGTGCCTACCTGTTTTTTTTTTTTTTTAGAAGAGTCAAACACGGAAGTTTTATGACTGTCACGACTCATGTTTACAACGGGGTGTTCAGTAGATTGGCGTCCCCGTGTTGTTGTTGTTTTTTAGGACACCATGCGAACTTGAACTGAAGAGCAGTAAGCAAAAAAATAAATCTGTGATCGGAAACAACTCATCTGGACTCCAGGAGCCGGGGGTCCCAGCGGGGAGTCCTACCCGATGGCATCCGCCGGACAGATGCAGCCCAGCGGGCCGGGGGAGGGAGCGGGGCTCGGGGAAAGCCTGTCCATCCACGACAGCACAGAGAAGCTGAACTCCTCCGCTGTCAATCGCATCCTGATGGAGTTCTTGTCTTACTTTGGCAGAGCCGTGCTCGTCTTCTACCCCGTGTATCTGGCGGGATATCTGGGCTTCAGTATCAGCTGGGTGCTGCTGTGCATGGTGCTTGCAACTTGGTGGAAAAAAAATCGCCAGTGGAAAGACACCCGGATCGGAACCGCCATCGATTTTGTGGATAATGAAACACCTTTGATCAACAAGGAGCTGCGAAGTGCCTTGCAGATGGCATCATGGGTATGTATTGCGCTAATATGGGATATAGGACTACCAATACAGAACTACTGTTTGTCACTGAGCAGCTTTACTGGGGCAATATGCGTGAACTGTCTTGTTTAAGGGCACCGAGGCAGCAAAGGGATTCAACTCACATAACATTTCAGTTATTGAGGAAAGACCCAACCAAACAAGTCAAACCGGTTTTGCTGTGTATCAAACAAATAAGTAAAACACCCTGAAACAAGTCCTACTGCAGGACACGTCCTCTCTGTTGACTACAAGACACTTTATTTGCATGACAGGCCAGACTTGGGCTGAACCTTCCCTACTCAGAAAAGGCTAAGGCAGCCAAATGTGCTGCTGTTTCTGCAGGAGGTTTCCTCTCTCCACATTTGGTTACGCCACACCCATTCAAACAGTGACTCATGGGAACTGAAGACAGGAGACAGTTGGGATTCTTTTTAATGTCAGAGGAATGTAACATCCACAGGGAATGTAAAGATTTTAACGGTTCGAGCAGTCAGTGTCTTGCAACTTGGTCTGTGTGTGTGTGTGAGACACAGAGATGATGATGACATACTTTATAGTACTGTGGTTTTAATACTTGGACAATTCCATTTGAACAAAAATGTATTATGAGTTCCACCCAATGTAAAACAGAACATGACTCCAACCCCCCTGTTACAGTCCACAGTTTTGATGCTGCAAAGAAATGTTGGTAAGCCCTAAAGAGCACTTTTTACTAAGGAATGCTGTCAAATTTCTGAAATGGGATAAATTTGCATAATTTCCCCCCCCAATTGACTGATTTTATGTTGACTAATTTCACTCACAACCCATTTAAAAAAATTTGCATGATGGATAATTAATAATGACTGACATAATTATGTCTTCCATCACCTTCACTGTCATCATGCATGCTGTTATGTTGTTTGGGTTTAACAAATGCTTACAGACCCACTTCTAACTACACTATCATTTTTAATTTTTTTCATAGGTCCAATTTCCAGATGTTGAGAAAGTTGAATGGCTTAACAAGGTATGGTATAAAAATAAAGTTGTCTTCTTACTGGTTCTCTGGTTTTATGAGATGATGCTAAGCATCGCTTTCGCAACCTGCTAAATGAAGCTGGCGTTTTTTGATTTTTGTCTCTGATTTAAAGGCCCAGTGGCTAACAGCACACTTTCCACCCCAGCCATTCCATCATGGTGGAGGTCACACATGGTCTGCATTTGAATGCTTTCGATGTTCATGAAAATACAAAGGCAGACCACGTGGCCTACAGCAGTTGTGGCAGCACTAATTCGAAACTGTATTGTTTCATTGTGAATTTGAAAAAAAGCTAGAACAACAACTTCATGCAAAGTGCCTTTATGTGTTCCCTCTATTTAAAAGTGCAAGTGAAATTCTACTTTCTATTTAATTAAGGCGTTCTCACATGCTCTGTTGTGCTCTGTATGGTCAGGTGTTGGAGCAGGCGTGGCCTTTCTTTGGGATGTTCATGGAGAAGCTCCTTAAAGAAAATATCCAGCCGGCCATCAGGCTCTCCAGCCCCGCGCTCAAAATGTTTGCTTTCACCAAGGTCCACTTTGGACGCGTAGTGAGTTTGCATTTGTGTCCTCAGTTTACATCCATATCAGAATCAGAAGGAGCTTTATTGCCAAGTAGTGTTTTACACATTTTTCACATACATTCACATATAATTTTCTGTGGTGATAAGTTGCTACACGTAGACAGTCAACATAAATAAAGGTAGAAATATATAAATATGGAATAGATTTGTCCCCTCGGTTACTCTCTTGGCTCTTTAAAAGCTTTTTCAATCCTCCTGAATATTGCTATGTTCAGTAACACAGTAACTGTGATTGAAGCGACGCTATCACACCAGTATGTGATAAACTGAGAAGTATAGTGTGTCATTAAATATGCTTTAGAAGGTTGCTTTAAAAAGCTTCTCTAATTCCAGCCTCTGAAGATCACTGGAATGAAAGCATACACGGATGAAGTGGATCAGCGACAGGTGGTTCTGGACTTGAATTTAAGGTTGGTTTGACACATTTCAAACGTCTTTTTGTTCAGTGTTAGACGTGTTTTGGTCCCTGTAAACCCTGAACAAGCGCTTGGTTGGTGTGTGTGTGTGTGGTTTTCCCTCACAGTTATTCACCCAGCATTCTTAACTTTACAGTTATGAGGGCGATGTGGACATCAACGCTGTGGTGAAGGAGCCAATCAGAGCCGGTATCAAGGAACTTAAAGTGGGAATCTAAATTTTCTGTATTCTCTGCAGTACTCTTGTCTTCACAGTAAGTGTCTGTTAGTCTAGTCTTGTAAAAACTGTCCTGAATCTTTCAGCTCAAGGGGATGCTGAGAGTCATTTTAGAGCCGCTTATTGGTGAAGCGCCACTTGTAGGAGGAGTCACCTACTTCTTCATTCGCCGGCCTGTAAGTGCCCACAGACATTATCGTTACCTTTATTGTTTCATCAATTAAGCTGTGTGATTTAAAAGTTTAAAACTTTCATCTTTTCCAGACCCTAAAAATCGACTGGACTGGCATGACCAACCTTTTGGACAGCCCTGGCTTCAGGTCAGTTTCCACTCTTACAATGCCAATCCTTTCTAAACAGAGTCATAATGGTCACCCCAACATTTTGCTGCTTCGTCGTCTAGTTGTAAAGCTCCCTCATCTCTTCTGTCCCTTTCCAGTTCGTTGTCTGACGAGACCATCATGGACACCATTGCCTCGCTCATGGTGTTGCCCAACCGCATGTGTGTGCCCCTCATAGACCAGGTCAAAGTGGACCAGATGAGGTTCCCACTACCTCGTGTATGTAAGACACACTTTCCATTAATGTTCATCTCATCATCTGCAGGCGTTCTTAAATACAGTAGTATTGCACGTTTTGGGAAAAAGTCCCCAACCAAACAAAAACGTTCAAATTTGGATGTTGTTTTGACTTTGGTTTGGTCTTTTACTTTAATGTGAGACAACGTTGTTGGTTTAAGTCTTGCATTCTTTGTCTGCTCCTCAGGGTGTGGTCAGGGTCCACTTGGTCGAGGCCAGAGACCTGGAGGCCAAGGACACTTACATGATGGGTTTAGTGAAAGGCAAATCAGACCCCTACGCAAAACTCAGAGTCGGAAACCGCCAATTCAAAAGCAAGACCATCAAAGAGAATCTGCACCCCGTGTGGAAGGAAGTGTATGAGGTAGAGAAACCATAACATACGGCAGCTGTCGTTCTCATGCTTTGGTTTGTTGACGTTTAATAACACCCACCATCTTCATCTGTGTGCAGTTTGTCGTCCACGAGGCCCCGGGGCAAGAGCTGGAGATGGAGTTATATGACGAGGACACGGATAAAGATGACTTCCTTGGAAAGTAAGACAGTATGTAGTAGCAGCACCAACATGTAGGGTTAATACTAATAATAAAACTGTGGGCAGCATGCTATATTTAAGTAATGTTGTTTTGTGTCCTCATGTGATTTCCTGACACTTTAGCTTAGCTCTAACACTTAATTGCTAAAAGAAATGTTAGTTTTCAATGGTAGAGCTGTAATGTTTTCACTCACCATCTCTTGTTTTTTTTAAATCACCTCAGGTATAACCTTGATTTGGGAGACGTGAAGAGGGATAAAGAAATTGATCAGGTGAGCTTTTATTTAATATTGTGTATACACTGAAGAAAGTGATTTGCTCCTAGTAAGTACAGGAAAAATATAGTAGCAGCTCTACAGGGCATTACAGTGTTCTGTCTCCTGCTGTTTTAAATCCTTTTTGAAATCTTGAGACTTTGCAGCAGCAGAGTTTTTTTCAGAATGGAGTTTTGAAGTTTAAATTCTAATGTTTTTCTAATCATTTTCACCAGTTTTCTATTTAATTAGAGTCACCATGTTGGTAAACGGATCTCCCTTTCTGTTGCAGTGGTTTCCCCTGGAAGGGGTTGAGAGTGGAGAAGTTCACCTCAAGCTGCAGTGGTTTTCCCTTAAGTCTGACCCCAGCCTGCTGACCGAGGTAGTCTCAATGTTGCTTACATTTCTCCCACCAGATCTTATTTTCATTAACATTTATATTCAGTATCATCAGGCTCTTATTCTGGCTGTCAATCTTCTGGTTTGCCTTTTAACTGTAGGCCCCTGTGTCAGTTGTGTAGAAAATGATGTATTGCTCTCTCCCAGGCTGCAGACGGCCTTGCTTGTGCTATGCTTGCAGTGTATCTGGACAATGCTACAAACCTACCGGTAAGTGGCTTCTAGTGGAGACTGTTGTTGTTGTTGTTGATAGCAGATGATGCAACACAGATAGACAAATGTGCTGAGGTGCGTGTTCTTGTGTTTGTCTCCAGAAAAACCTCAGTGAGATCACAGAGAATCAGAAACACGGGAAGCACACAAGGGAAGCCCGGGTAAGACGAGAGCTTAAATGTTCCCAGTATTGTTACATAAGGCTTTGCTCCTGTGATTATGAAAGCTGCTCTCCTTCCCCAGTATTTTCTATAAGAAGGAGCTGAGCTGGACTTTAAGGCCCTATTTTCATTGTGTCTATATTAGTTTGTTAGGTAATTTTTGCTCTTGAGAAAGAGGGTTAAAACTAGTCAACGCTTTACCAGAGAGAGAAAATATACAACCCCACAGCATTACATATACTGTACAAAATCAATATTAATGGGGGTTTTTTACCAGTCCATCTCTGGTCATAATTGCATTAGTCCTATAGTCCATATTTGCAATTTCTTTAATTAATTCCCAAAATAATAATACAGATTTACATTACATCTGTTTACATTTACATTTAATTTTCTCCACATTTGTTCATATACATACATATACTCAATAATTACTAATTTCTCTTACTAATAAATCTAGTCAGTTTTGGTGCGATTTTTTTTTACTGTTTTATTCTAAAGCACCAGCCTAATTGTTATTGTATATCCTTTTTAGTAATAAGCCAGTTTGCCAGTGATGGCTCACTCCAAAAGAAGATTGTTTGTTGGCTTTGCAGTGAAGAAAATATCTGATAGGAAATGTTTTTTTCTTTGAGGGTTAAATCGGGCAGTGATCTAGCTTCTCTTTCACTTAACTGGTGTACATTTAATAGTTCCTTTTGTATCTTGATGTGAGACAAAGGCCTCAGTCAGATCCGATTTTGTTGGTAGTGCTCCAGGTGTACTCGTTGCTGTGCGTAGCTGGTATTTCCCGTTTGTCTGGTGCATGCTTGTCATTTTTTTGTGGGTGTGTTATTGCCAGCTGGTGTTGATCAGGGTGAGTTTCCCATCGTAAAGAAACAGCAGAGGAGTGCTTGTTGAGAAAAAGAAACAATCATTATATATATGTACTCACTATTTTATACCCCTCTTTATAAAGCAGATATAGGTTGTTATTTTTTTTTAGGATTTTAAGATTTCTACATAGGACAAATCAACAAATGCCATTTAGGTCACAGGTCACTTCACAGCATTTGACAAACCCTGTCTGTCTGGTAATTAAAGCAATTATAATCAAACTGTAAGAAATGTTTAAGGACAGTTTTTGAGTCAGACCTACAGTTATAATGTCTCAACACAGGGTCTCCTAACTTCTATTGCCTCTGAATGACCTCTGCTAGTCATTGTGTGAAAGTGCAAGGGTTCATTACCGGAAGCTACAATGTGTGATAAATTTGATGTGGTTGTAACATTGACTTAATAAATGTCTTTTTATCATTCTCAGCCAACATGTTGTGTTTGGTGAAGGTTGTTGTTGAATCTTAAATGTGGCTTCATCAACCTCTATATTGTTTCTCTAACAGTCATTTTCTTGTCGATTTTAATCTGGCGATTATTTTCTCAATTAATCAGTTAGTTGTTTGGTCTATAAAATGTCAGAAGATTTAAAAAAATATATATATGTTTTTCCTAAGGCCCAAAATTATGTCCTCAATTTTCTTTTTTTGTCTACCCAAAGATATTCAGTTTCCTGTCATAGAGGAATAAAGAAATCAGAAGATTTTCACATTTAACGAGCTGGAATCAGAATTTTATTATTATTATTATTTTATTCAACATATCAAATTAATGAACATATCAAAAGAGTTGGTCATTAATTTAATATTTGGGAACTAACAGGGAATATGAAGTTGACTTAAAGCTGTGTTGAATTGTGGGTAACTGACATCATTTTGTTTAGGCTGCCTTCTCAATCTTGTTGTCTTTTTGAAAGTTTTGCATTTTGTTTTGTTTAATAATTGGTAAGTGCTGTCTTTACATTTGCGAGTATGACAGCGTTTTGCACTTTATAACTTTAAAACTCACACAAAGTGTATGAACTCTGTCCAAAAACAAGGTAATTGTCAATGTCCAGGTATGTGAGTGGAGGTATTGTGTCTGTGTCGGCAATCCAGCCTTGGCCTGCCAAGTCATATGGATCTACGTTGTTTATGGTTATAGTAGACAAACTTGTTGTTCTTTAGGTTTCCTGTGTCAGACAGTGTGTGAAAGCATTTTACAAAAAGTAATGCATTGCCTCGCTTTGTTTTCAGCTTACAAAGAGAGTTGCCTGTCCGAACTCCTATGTGGAATTTTCCATTGATAAAGTAGTTCAGAAAAGCAAGGTACGACTCTGACTTTATTTCATGAATACAGCATTTTCTCTTCAGTTCATTAAATTAAAAGAAGTTAATTAATGTTTATACTTGTTTTGGTTGAATTTTAGCACTGACTTGTAACTGTCAAAGTTAAAAGTTGCATTTAAAAATGACGTCTGTGGCGAGAAACTGTTGCAGTCACAAATCCCACAGCACAGTAGTTGTCCAGCTTTTTGCATTGAAACCATTCTGTTGCTGTTCATCACCTGTCACTGTCTTCTGTTACCACAGATTGTGTTTGCATCTAAAGACCCGGTGTGGGAGGAGGGCTTCACCTTCTTTGTGCATAATGTCAACACACAGCAGCTCGTGATTCAGGTTTGTCATTTAATGTCGTACACACCACCGAATCGAGTGTTTAACCATGTGACTCAGCTGTTCAAAACAAAGTGTAAAAAAAGTTAGCAATAATCTCTGTTGAAAATCTCAAACTAAAATTTAATATTTGTGTTCTCGTGGTCCAGGTTAAAGACCACGAGAAGAAGTCTCAGCTCGGTGTTTTCAACTTGCCCCTGTGTCGTCTCCTCAACACGTCCGACTTGACTCTGGACCAGTTCTTCCCGTTGGAGCGCTCCGGAGCAAACAGCCAGATCAAGATGAAAGCAACTCTCAGGGTGGGTGCACAACATTGGCAAGCATACACACACATTTACTACATAGAAACTCACATAATCCATAGACAGATTAAGCATATCACACATTCAGTTTATTATTATTGTTATTTTTAGTTATTTGTTTCACATACCGTTCAGTAATACAAAACACATTAAGGAAATTTATGTGTGCGGGTGTGGTAGAAACCTGTAATGGCTTCATGAAAACCACACCCAAAACACAAACAAATTGTAAAATACAAACATACGAAATTCACCAATACATAAAGTACAGTACACTTCAAAGATAATCATATTAGCTATTGGCTAAATCTCTTTTATCATAAGTAAATTTCCATTTTGCTGCAGTCTGTTTCCAGTTGTTTTTCAGCCAACACCGAAATCATGAGAACTTGCAAGTGAGCTCTGTTACGTTGAGATTTTTACATTGTGTCGTTGACATTAGCCATGTCCTCAATCCCCCAATAGATTCTTACTGTGGAAAAGCCTCCACCCAAGATTGTCCACAAATCTCCTCCCAAAGTCAAACCACAGACCAACCAAGGAGGTAACGCCCCAGCCTCCTCTGCGGCAGTTTCCTCCAACACCGTCCCTGCTAGCCAAGCCTCCTCTCCGACCCCGGTAGCTAATGTCCAGAATGGCTCTAATACGGTCCAGAATGGCTCTAATACGGTCCAGAATGGCTCTAATACGGTCCAGAATGGCTCTAATACAGAGTATTCAACTCACCGCCGCGGCTCCCTCCTGGCTTCTGAAACCTACCGGCCACCTTCTTCCGTATCCAACATGCGTCGGTATGACTCCCACAGCCTGCTGTCAGAGAACTCCATCGCTTCGTCACGTTTTGACCTTTCAGAAGGAGCCTCGTATCCAGAGTGAGTCCATAGTCCACGTCTTTTTCAGACCTTTAGTGTGCTGACCTCTGACCTTTCTACAGAAATCATGAACTAAACTGGCTTTTAGCAAGAGTTAAGTAATAAAAGTTTTTCTCACTATAGGGCTATCAGGAATCATCAGGGTTCGTTTGGGGAGATCTACCTGAGTGTACGCTATGCCACCCTGAGGAAAAAACTTGTCATCACAGTTGGCGCCTGCAGGTACTTCAGAAAAATCCAGCCTCACAAGTGTTTCAGAACAAATAAATTTGCATTTCAGCTTCTTTGTGATAACATTAAAAACTATTTTGTGTTGAGAATACTCATAATAGTCAGTATTGCCTTGGTTTGAATGCCTTGACTGAATCCAACATAACAAAGGAGGAAATTGCTTTAATTTTCTTTTCAAAATTAATTTTTAAAAAGAAAATCCTATGTATGATCTTTTTCATAGTACATTTGAGTAACGTTGTTCAAAAGAACTTTGAAAAAGAAAATGCACAGCCATGTATGATAATCCACTGTGTTTCCTACAGGAACTTATTCCGCTTCAGTGAGCTGGCACAGACTCTTACGTCCGCCTGTATTTGCTCCCTGACCACTCCTGGAGACACCGCAAGAAAACACACGTCAAAAGGAAGACAGTCAATCCCTCCTTCGATGACAAGTAAGCCTACTACATCAAAAAGCCAAATTAACAGTTTCATCAGTTGCTATTCTGTTTATCAAGTAGTTAAATAGAGTCAGAGGCACAAAGATTGAGACTGTGTCTTTCTTTCTATATCTTTCATCAAAGGTTTGAATTTGATGTGTCACTTGAAGAAGCAAAAACTAGGAAGTTGGATGTGTCTGTAAAAAATGGCAAGATGCTACACTCACGGGAGAGAAAGGACATTGGCATGGTAGGTAGTTCTACTTGTGATATACTTGTGTATTCATTGCTGAGAGGAGATTTTTAAGGCTATCTGCAGTTGAAACACTCTACGTCAGTGTTGGTGTCATTGGTGAGACAAATATACAACCACTCATTATGGGTCAGTGTTGTAACTGTTTTTAATTTATACATATATATTGCAAAACCAATGTCTTGACCGCTAATGTTTTTAATGTTCTGCTCCTGTCCACAGGTGATGCTAGATTTTTCACAGGTGGATCTAACCAAAGGCATCGCGGACTGGTACGGGACCAATTTTCTACTTTTCTACTATGATTTGATTGAAACAGTAGCTGCAAATAATTATTGCCGTTTTGTTCCGGATGGAACACAAAGTTGAGTTTGATGTATTTTATCAGAACTAAGCTGAATTATGCTGAATTGCAGTACCAAAACTTCCTACCCTCACTGTGTACATTTTCTTGCTCTCATTACTAGTCCAGGAGAGAAAAACCTGCCTAACCAGTTTCTTTCAAGAGTAGATCGCCCCCTGCTGGCCTCTAGAAAGAATGCAGGTTTAAGTCCACATTGGCTTCACTTTTCAGTTCCGCAGGTTGCATTAAGTGACAAAAATACTCTGGCTGTGTCTGCCGTACTGGTCTTGGTTATCTTTTCCAGTTTATCTTTGGAAATCCTGAAGAGGGTCAGGAAGAACTACTTGGCAAAATTAGCTTTCTGGGTCAATACAGCATGCACTGAGGAATGTATCGCTTCAATCGACTGCATTTAGGTCTTTGTAGCAGAGCCTCTTGCATATCTTTTTATCTTTGGAAAATAAGCACATTCCTAGGAAATGGAAATCAGCTTTTGTTCTCCCTTTTATTAAAAGGGGGCAACACAGCTATTTTAAATAAATACAGGACAATACAAAATGTAAGTTGGTTGCATATTCATGATCCTCATTGGCACTTGGGTTGTGGGTGTGTTTGTGGGTGTGTAGGACGCAGTTAGAAGTAGGTGCACTCACCTGTTTACCTGATTTGACTTGAGTGATTATGGGGGTAAGGTGAGCTCAGGAGTGAAATTTTCTTTTGACCATTTTAATCTACAATGGTGCATTTGTGTTGTCTGGTGCCGTTGCGTTTTCTTTGCATGGATGTATGAAAACAATAGTTAATTGGAATCGCTGTGAAATGGAAGCTTAACGGTGTGTCGGAAATGTATTGGAGTATCATTGTGTGCGCGTCAAGTTTTCTCCCGTGTTTAGCCTACAGTGGCTGTTTTTTCTTTAGTGCCACAGGGAAGGTGGTAAATAACATTTTGGTTGCACTTGACAAGAAGCAACATTCTGCATTACTCTTTATTGATCTGTCCAAAGCTTTTGACACCATTGATCATGATGTTTTAAAACTTAGACTTCTTAACTCGGGACTTGAAACTTAATGAATTAATCTCCTTAAATGCTTTTAAATCCAAAATGATGAAATTGTGAAGATGACTCGAAATGTCTCTTGTGCGCTCCTATCCTTCTGTGTTACCTGTCTGTAGGCTACCTATGTATTTTATTTTATATATGCAACCTGTCTTGGCCAGGTCACCCTTGCAAAAGAGATTGAATCAATTGGACTCTCCTTGTTAAATAAAGTTTACAATATTTAACCAGTATAACAATAATTATAAATTTCTCTTTCCTCTTAAGGTTTGAGCTCACGTTGCCTGGGCTGAATAACTCCAGCTACGGGGCAGAGAGGTAAAGCAGCAGCTCCTCAGCCACTGCGAGGAGAGTTTCATATTCCTTTGTCTTCCTTATCATCGTGAGATTGACAGAGTTGGGTTTTCCAAGAGCAGCACTAAACCCATCTCAGACACTGGAGATGTTTGTTACTGAAGGTGTAATAATGCAAATAAGAATTTTAAACATGCTTCCTTTCGTATTGCAGATAATGTTGGCACAAACATTTTATTGTGGCTTATTTTGGGTTGACAAGAAGCCCAGTGATCCTGAATAGTAATGATATTACTAAGCATGTCTTTTCCATTAAAAAAAGAGAATGTAACTCATCAGAAAATGATTTGAATTCTACTCAATCGAAAAACAAAGGTGATGTCTTTATTTTTATATTTTTGGAGAGAGGTTTAGTTTTTGAGTTGACCTAAGCCAAAGTAATCCCCTTGTATTTTCATGTAAATAGTTTTATTGATAGTTTGTATATAATATATCAAAGGAAATAAAGGTATAGACGTGTGTTTGTTACAGCAATCCAGGTGGGACATTGCATGGTGAGGAAGGGTTACATGCTTAAATATACACTGACAAACACATATTTACAACTGGAAGAAGCCAAATACAACTAGAGTTTTGTGTGAAATTACATCAAAGCAAGGCACAGTTCTATGTTGGGCGGCAAGATACAGTCCTTTGCTCAAGGACTCCTTGACCATAGTTACCGACAGAGTGTCCAAGTACATCTTTTGAACCTAGGTAACGCACCTTTACCATCTGGTCTTTAAGATATCTTCATTTTCAATATTTCAAATACTTTACACAAAACTTTAATGAATGCCTTACATATGTTTGCAGTGAAACTGTTTTTTATGACGGAGAGGGAACAAAAAAAAAAAAAAACTTTCAGAATTTATGTACAATTTAACTTGGAAAAGCATGTTAATTCATTAAGATATGGGAAAACACCATATAACATAAGTTATATCATCACAATACCTTTTGGAGAACTGCCATCCAAATGGTACTCATCTTTGCTATGCTTAGTAAAAATTTAGTTGACGGCTAATTGTAAAAGTAAGATGTGCCAAGAGTTTGGTGTTGACTGTTGAGCTGTTTATGAAGTTTCCAATTGAATAGACACTAAATGACTGTGAAATTTGTTTTCGGCTAATAGTTTGATGGTGAATAAACATCTTCAAGCAAATAAATGTTGGATTTTTATTTAAAAGGGTGTGAATGCCTCTCTGTGTGTAAGGTGTAAGCCGGGCGTGCCCATTATTAACATCCATGGGTGAACCCTGCCTCTCGCCCAATGTGTACAGGACTCTAGACTTTGCCAACTCGCCGCGATACGGACCGAGGATTATAGATAGATATATCACAGCGTAATATACTTGGTAAACCCCTCTGAAAGTTTGTTAATAACATACCCCTATATATGTCAGTAGTTATACCCCCCCGCACTACAGATAAATGGACTATTCCATCACTAGACTGTTGCTAGAGGTGCTGAAACTCCTGAAACTGAGACTCATGTTTCCTCCACAACATCAGACACTGAAGCAGAGTTATTACAGACGGCCATTTAAGACAAAACACACGAGGGGAAGTTGATAAAACATTAACAGCAGTCTCCTTTTGAGGTGCACAAGTTTAATCGCAGTTCAAAGTTAATGTTAAAATGCTATAACGTTACCGTTTGATGGAATATCGTCAGCAATTAAATAGCCTCAGTGTTTTGCTTCCGTTGTGCAGCTGTTGATTAACAAAGCGTTATTTTTATACCGTGGATTTATGCACTTTATCAAAATAACCTGCTGGCGCTAACGAGGTCACGCGTGTTCACCGTTGGTTCCTTAGCAACGGCCCTAGCAACGACACAAGGGCTTCGTTAAGAAAAGCTAGCGTTAGCTTATGATGACTGTGTACCAGCATGACTTCAGCCAGGAAGAAAACAAATATTACTAATAGTCCAGCCTTCCTATCACCAAATCCTCCACAGGTAAGTTTAGAAAACACTAAGAGCAATGTCGTTAGCAACGTTGGAAGACGTGTGTCAGTGTTTAGACGCTACAACTTTTAGCTGACTGTGTGTTAACTGTTAACTTGCCACTTACACTAAGCTAACTTTTTCAGTTAGCTAACCTTACTCAAATGTGCGTGATTGACAATAAAATAACTTTAAAAACAAATAAAAATGAATGTCTTGCCCACTTTATTTTAACATCGTCATTGCCAATTTGCATGTTTTTTTTTAATTATCCAAACACCTCTCAACTTATTTGTGAAAACAACATAAAACTAGTGGTTAACTCTGTTGTCCAGGTCCACAGAAAACAGCCCTGGATGGCATCAAAACCTTTATTTTCGCTGTATCCCACACTGAAGCAGAATCCTCAAGGTACTGAAGAAGCTGTGAAAAGTGGGTTCAATGTTCAAAGTTTTGAGTTGGTAATAATCTTTCTCTCAGCTAAAACATATTGTTATTACACCAGCTCAAACATCAGAGTTTTAAAGACACATTATTTGATACGCTGCATTCTGTAAGTTTTATGTTAAGTCTGTTTGAACCATCTGTATGAAGTTTGCCTTGTGTGTGCCACAGGAGATGGGTTGTTTGAAGGGGCAGACAGTAGACCAAATAAAGGTTATGGGAGAGGCCAGTACCTGCTCCAGAGCAGAAAGGCAATACAGATCCCTGAGACCTCCAAACATTGCAGCAGTATCCACACAAAACTCAGTAAAAAGCACAAGAATCTACGTGAAACTCTGGTTAAATTCATATGGTGAGTTGTACATTTCAATTTATCCATCTCTACATCTGTGTTTCCTGTTTATGATTTGGCAGCACACGAAGGACATAACTAAACAACTGCTTAACTACGTATATTTGTCAAAACATTTCATTTGTTATAAATCCAGGCAAAAGCTTTTTGGCAAGGCAAGTTTGTATTGTAATCAATAAATATGACCAAACCACAGCTACATTCCACTGCTCGGGATAGGAAATACTTTGTTTATCAGTAAAGTAGAATTTGTTGCGACTCCCATTTTGTCATTTTTTTCTGCTCTTTTTAGCCAGCAGGAGGAGGAGGAGGATGGCAACTCTTCACCATGTGGCTCTCCCAAAATTACAGCAAAGAATAACCGTGAAATGGTGAAATACAATACACACTTGATTCCGTATATCATATCACAATCCCTCTTTTTTTTGTGAACATGCAGATAATGGAGACATTGTGTCCTTAATTCCTTTACATAATCTTTTCAAGACACTTGATATGGTAGCCTATTAATCACTGGTTTGTTTCCCTGGTCTCAGTGGTTGCTAAGCATCTTTCTTTCTCGGTGCAGAGTTTTTTCTTTTCATAAAAAAAATATATCTTTGATATATTTGAAATCCTTGCCTACACTAAGGCCAAGCAATAAAACAAATACAACAAATAAAATATAGCTTTAGGTCAGGTACACAGCATAGAAAATGAAGTCAGCATTGGCCAGTGGAAGAGGTATATTTCACACTGACTCATAAGCACAACAAAAACTGAAGCTTACTCTCAAGGAGGTCCTAGATATAGATGTTTTTCCATCATCCAGTAACCGGCGCTGTCAAGTAAAATTCATGTCAGGCATTGTTTGTTTGAAATGTCCTTACTGCTTCTGAAAATTGTTTATAATATTGTGTCCTGTCAGAGATACAACTACTACATTGAGAAAGGGATAGACCTGGAGAATGTGGCTCCTCTTGAGGACTCTTGGCTGGAGAACATTCAGGAAATGATCCCACGTCACCTGAGGAGCCTGAGCACACCATTGGAGCTGCTGGTTGATGAAATTAAGGAGGACTACTTTCTCAGCGTCAAGACAGCAATATGTATTTAATTACACTTAGTAATTAGTCGCGAGCTTTTAATAGATTTAAGCATACAACCTACATGTGTGTATTTGGCCTTTAAACACACAATAATTAGGATGGAAAAGGGGTATTTATATATAATTGATACATTTTAAAATACTTCTTGAAATTAAATTAAAGTTAATAAATAAAAATAATTTTTTTCATTCTCTATTTTATTTAACAGTTTTACCCCCAAATCTCTGGTGACTGGATAATTTGTAATGCATGTAACAATTTGGTAATAAAATATTGTTTGTTTTAATATCTTGTGATTGCAGTGAAATATACATTCAGCGATTCAAGGGAAAATGATGAGGACAAAGTGAAAGATCTGCCCCCTCACAGACTTGAGTAAGTCAACAGGACGTGACGGAGAATGTTGCATGTTTATCTTGTGAGAAGTGTACAGTGCCTCTACTCATTCACACTGTGTAGCATGGCTGTCATGACCACGCCACATAGACATTTCCTTTGTACAAGGCAAAGCTTTGTTTTAATAAGCAGCATTACATTTTCGTATAGGGGAAAAGGTCTGTTCTTCAAAGTGCTTCTGTTATCTTTCACTGTCAGAGTGGAGGTTTTGCCAAAACCATGGAACAAAGCGTTTGTCCATGCACGAAAGAGGATGAGAGATAAGCTTCACTCTATCAACCCCACTATGCAGCAGGTGCTATACTTTTGGCATGTCTGTTACAAGTGAGTATGCTATGATACATTTTTCACTTTTGTTAAAACTCCATCTTGTGTACATTTATTTTTTACTTTTACATATTTTAATAATTTCTTCTCAGAAAAATTTTAAAACATTTTGTATAATACTTGATCAAAAAGTGAGAAGCACAACATGACATGTGAGAAGTAGACAGTGGCATGTGACCCAAAAAGCAGACCATACATGTTTTTTTGGGTTTTTTTAAACCTGTCCTGCCCAGCAGCCTGGTATAGAGTATAATGACCTGGATACCATATTGTGCCAGACAGATTTTACTTTAACAAGAGAGTATTAATATACTCCTTTGTCTGTTTTATTATTTATTTAATTATGTATTGATTTGTCACCGGGCCGGACAGGGGGGCAGACACGGGGATGGGGGGGCACAAACAGACAGCACAGAGAAAGGACAAGACCTGTAAGAGAAGGGGGATGGAAGGTGGGGACAACAGGGAAAAGCTGTAGGAAACACCAATTGCAGAAAGCAACGAAACCTGCAATAGAACAGAGAGGGGGGCTTGGGGAGGAGAAAAACAACAACAACAAACAAACACAAACAAAAACAGCATCAGGAATAGTTCTACCAGGGACAACCTAAGTTTGTTTGTGTCTGTGTGTGTCTGTGTGCGTGTGGGTGAATGTGTCTGTATGTGTGTGTGTGTGTACATGTGTGTGTGCATAAGCCTGTTAAAGAATGTAGTTGTTAGTGAGAGTGGGACGCCACGGCTGTGCCACACTTACCCCAGCAACAGGCAGGCAAGAACCCAAGTAGCCAATAGGGGTGGGAGAAAGAAAAAAACCAAAGACTCCCAGATGCACCGCGATGCAAACGCAGAAGACCCCGACCCAAATGCCAGTTGACAACGTAATGCCGACGGAACGCAAAAAGCGTAACCTGCAGAAGAGCAGCGCCCGGACCGACCGCGGCGCGCACACAACATAGACCAGTGCTCCCCCCCCCACCCAGCACCCCACCGCCGCGCAGCGAACAACCAAAATACCCAAATGCCACCCAATCATCAACACCAATGCACAAGTGACGAGCCCAACGCGCACACTGCGCGAGCACGGCGACACCCAACGCCCAGCAGCCCCCCGCAAATCCCGCGTGCGAGGTCAGGCAAGGGGGAAGCAGCGGGAGCCTCACCTCTGCCGAAGAGGGCCCAGGCGAGGAGAGGAGACAACGGACCCCAGGCCCAGGGACACACCACCCGCCAAGAAATGAGCAAAGGCCACAAGCCCAAGTCCCCAGAACCCTAGGTCAAGGGCGGGCCCCCATGCCAGGGGAGCCCCGACCCCCCCCAGCCCACCGATCAGGCAAGGCCGTCACCAGCCCCACAGCACCCCCGACGCTCGGGGCTCCAGGGGTAGGACACGAGGCCAATGAGAATCTCCCCCACTCCTTCAAAAAGCAGACCATACATGTTTTATTACTTATCATGGCAGGCTATCGTGCATAATTGAATGTTACTCTAAATTGACTTTGCCCTCCTGGATGACCTGTTTGCAGAAATCTCCGTCTGATAGATGTAGAGGAGTTCCACAGCAGAGAGAGTCCATGGAGCTCTCTGTGTTTCAGCAAATTGTCACCAGA